GACGAACTCGTTATTTTACAGCACATTGCGCGATTTGACGGATTTTGGAGTCTCGGAACAGATCAACGACCAGCTCCAAAGCCAGAGCAGATTCCATTGACCCTGACGAATCGTTTGGATTGTGGCTCCTAGTACAATAATGCTCTGGTACCGGTGGACGGTTGTCAGCTTCGGTATCCGCATGTTTCTTTGCCCAGGCAGTGCAAAAGCCGCAAACTTTACTCTTGATCCCAAACGAAATGATCTTTCTCGTAATGCACCAACAATGGCACCGTGGCCAGATACAGAATTCTCAAGTGGCCGGATCCCTTCTGTTGCCACACCATTCGTACATCCGCACAAACGGCATTTTGTCCTGAGTAACGCCCGTTGGGATCGATTCAAAGCCGCCATCCAATCAAGAAAAGCTTGCTCATTCGGCGTCGATTTGCGACCCCTCTATTAGATTTTTCCAGAGACTTCTCTCTTCAATTCAAGAATGAGGAGCAATTCGTTCCTCAATATCAACAAACGCGGATTTCATCGTGTGTCATTCGGCAACCCCAAAGACCGAGGATTCTGGCGTTCGGTTCCACCGTCACCATTCGCAATATTTCTCAATACAAACAACACATTGACAGCTGAGTCGGTGCTTCCTTCAGCCTTGTCATTTCCAGCGGCATGCATGTTTGTAGTGACTGGCTTGTTGCTGCCATAAACGTAGTCGCAGTTGTCATTGGTACATTCCAGTTTGAATGACGACGCAATGCAGACATTGCGGATATTGAATTGGAGGCGTCCGTTGCAGTTTTCTCTTTCGCAACGCAGCTGACGGAAGCATTCACGGAGTTGCTCGACCTCCAGAATGACTCTTTCGTGGGGCTTCGTGTTGAACTTCGGCCCGTTTTGTTTATCATTTTCCTCTTCCAAGGTGGCCTCTTCGATCGCTGGATTTTGCTCGACAAACTCCGGTGCCGTTGGATTGTCTTCATCGTCAGACAATTCCTCGCCAAGCAAATGCCTCCTGTAATTTGGTCTTCCTTTGCCATTATTCCTTGTACGGGAGGTGACATGGCCACTGCCACCAATCCTCCAGTCATTATCCCTAGAAGCTAGCTTCAATGATTCAATAGAAGCATTGGCTTTCCAGCACCTTCTATTGGTGGCTGGAGTACGAGAGACAGGGATAACGACGTTCCTAGGCAGCGGCATCTGCGATTTTTGTGTACGTGATGTGCTCTACTATGTTTGATGGTCTTCTCGACAGTGCCAATAAAATATTCGTGGGTCAAAGGAAATTGAAATTTGGCGCTTATACGATAGCTCGACTGGCTCTCCCATGTATGAAAGACTTAGGGAACGAAGCTACGGACTGGCCCTCCGGTGAAGATTCATTTGACATTTCCAAAATGGTTTTGTCCAAACCAAAATCAGAAGCTGTCATTTCTAACCGAATCGGTCATTTCTCGAATCCTGCATTGAAATGACTAGTTGGAATAAAGAAAAGATTGAAGCAAATAAAATGAATTTTATCACCATGGCAACAGTGTTGACCAAATGGCCATTAGCTCTACCAATACATTGTTCTAGCTGAGTCTGTCAGAGGACTAGGTCCCCAACACACTCACAGAGCTACCCCTTGAAGGGACTCAGCCATCTCCATGGTTTCCTATGGAGCCTCTATGCAAAAACAAGCTTGGATTCCATTTTGTTGTCATCCTGCCATGGATTTCTCCATGGGAAAGGTGATACTGTCCTCACTCTCAGCATTCAATCTTCACTCTAGAGTATGGTAGATGCGTGTGTGGCTTTGGATGAAGACTGCAGCACCCATCCCACAGATTCAAAAGGAAATTGTTGGCTCCAAGGTGGCAAAATTGAGCAGATTCTTGTTTGTTTTCGCCAAGTCGATACAGTAGTAGTAGAGTAGCTGCCGTTTGTTGTTTGAGTAGTAGTAGCACTAGAGCAGGAGCCAGAAGCCTGCCGGAAGAGTAACAGTCGTAGCCGCCGAAAGAAAGGTTGGTCGTAAAAGCATCCATCGATTGATCCGCCGAACGGAAGAAGCAGATTGTTGCCAGTCCTTGCCATTGTCGAGGGGCCGCTTGTTGCAATAGTAGCAGTCGCTTGTTGTTGCGGTAGAGGCGTCATGGTCGATCCGATCGCTCGTGGAAGAGGAGGCGTCATGGTCACTCCGTGGAAGAAAGAAGTCACGAACCGAATCGATCCGTCGGCCGATCGACTGCCACTTCCGCTTTCGAGCCTATCCAAACAAGAGGAGCATGTCATGGTGGCGAGTAGTAGCCTTTGTTGAGAGGAGTAGCCGCTGTAGAGGAGTAGCCGCTGTAGAGGAGATACTAATAGCATCATCTTGATAGAGTGGAGTCAATAGAGCACATACCAGTAATGAAAAAGAAGAGCACACCATGGCTGGGAGCCAGCGATGTATTCCTCCAAGTCTTTTCTGAGTAAATTAAGTCTTTTGGACATGACGCAATGGAATGTCCTACCGGGACCGTGCTTGCGTTTGCGTCAATAGCTTAGATACAGCCTGTAGGATAGGTGCGCGAAGCTCGAATTTATGGCTCGAATTGATATTAAATGGAATTACGTCAATCCAGTGAGAGCACGAACATTGCAGATTCCAGATTCCATAATTTATGCAAAACATATGTTTGCAACAAACGTCAGTACGTATGCAAACTAGCGCTGGCTTACTGCCCATGGCTATCCACCTTAAATGAGGTGGCGGCAGTTCGAAACTAACTTAGTACCGGTGTACCGGTACTGTATGGATTGTCCCAAATAACTGATTTACTTTTTTTAACAACAAAAGGTGCATTTTAAGCAATTTCCATCATAGAATGTAGTACTAAACTATGCTCTCTAAGCAAACCAAACCAAGGTATATCCTATATCATAAGGCTTTATCCTTTTCTTCTAGTTGTCTTGAGATCCGGATATAATTGTGCACGGAAAGTTTCTCGGAGGCAACCTTGGCGAACAATTTCTCGGCTTCGGGATTACTCTTTGACAGGTAAAAGTCGAAACACTTGTGAGCACACAGTGGATCTCGACGATTCTCGACGATTTCCAACCAGCGATCTTCGTCCGAAAGAGCTCCAGAATTGTAGAATGTCAGTCGATTGGTCTTGTAATCGGGAAGCCGGATTGCCAAATGCAGACATCCAGCCAGGTCACCCATCTTGCGAGTGTACATCCCAGAATAAGTATCCCGCATTATGAGAGTGGACATTTCCTTACCTCCCTGAAGAAGAAAAGATCGACCAAGGTGGAACACACAGGCAAATTGGAGATCTTTTGGATTCGTCCAAGGTTGGAGTCATCCGTCTTTGACAGCTTCATGAATTTTCTTGTCCGCTTCCCATTCAATCTCCGAATGATGACTGCGAATTCCAAAGGTTGGATAGTCTTGCGGATTTCCGCCCAATATTGAATCATGACTCCGTGGAAATCTCCTTTGGCGTTGAAATCCTCCTTGAAGGTGTACTGAAATTGGTTGTGGGTCATGGTTCTCCACTCGGTGATTACATTGTTAATGTATTGTGTGAAGACGGTGGGGGGGAGGCTTGCCTTTGTTGGTACCGGACAAGCACAACCATTTCATTCCGCACAAGATGGCACAATACTTCAGGATTTTGTGTTTGTTGCGATCTTTTTCTCCACATGGTGCCACGTTGAAAAAAGCATAGTTGGTTGAGTGGCTGTGGCCGTGGTCGTAATCGACGGGAACAATCTCAAGAAGACTGCTCAAAACGGAACCTCCATGCTCGCGGATTGTCTTGAAGAATCGCTTTTGAAGGCTCTCACTTTTCTTCTCATACTTTTTGCCTCGTCTTCCTTGGTCCTTGCACTCTTCTAGAAGCTTTTTCTCTTGCTCTGCCAAGTCCAAGGTGCTAAAATCTCTACCAATACCAAGAGCACTGGCAAATTCAGCAGCATTTTTTGGTGGATTTTCTTCTGTTGGCTCTTCTTCAGCGTCTGTTGTTGCGGCTGTGGCTGGATTTTGGGTTGGATTTTGAGGAGACAAGGACACTCTGGCTGGAGCTGGTGCCGGCGGACCTAAGTTGATGTTGGATTCAGAGCCAAGTGCCAGAAGGTTTTCCACAACAAAGCTGTTCCTTGAGTCATGACAGGACGACAGGGTTCTTCTTCATATTCTTCTTCGTCGGCTTCTGCCTCATCCTCGCCGCTACTGCTTCTGGTGTCTACAGGTGGACGTGTGAAGTCATTGTCGGCAAGCGAAGTTCGACGTCGGGTGTCCTCTTCTGCCGAGGAAGAAGACATGATGACCAGTGACTACTCTACGTGTGTTAGTTGCTCTAAGCTCTCTAGTTTACTTGCTATTGAGATACTATTGAAAAAGTGGGTGGGGGCTACCAGCTTTTACTACTGGCATCAAATTCTAGTACAGAGGTACAGGTTGAATCCCTAATCGCGAATCCCCAACACACTCCTGT